CAAAGAAACCTCAAATATGGTCCCTGCTCTCAGGAGGTTTACAATCTAATAGGGGAGGCTCCACATAGAAAACCACAGAGCTAGTTTGTATCAGAGGCAGTCAAGGAACATTCAAGTGTTCCTGACTCCTAGGGTACTTTCTCTCAAAGGAAGCAAACTTTGGGGTGGGGGATTAAAGGGCTAGAAGAAAGAGGGGGTTTTGCCTGGTAAGATAGCTGGCACTCTATTCCCTTTGACCTCTTCCTCTCCCTCCCTTACAATTTTACCATCAGAGGCCCTTCGATTAATTAGGCCATTCTCTCAGGGCGCCAACAGTAGCTGACCTCCCCACACATTACCTTCTTCCCCCAAGGTTCCAGAGACTTTTAAAGCTGAATAACAGCTACCACACAAGTCCCCACCCCAACCAAAGAAGAAAGTTTGGAGGGCCCACTGGGCTCACCAACCTCAGTTTCCCTTCAAGAGGCCCAAGATTGGATTTTTTTTAAAGCAAAAGGGGGCAGCTAGGTGGCGCAGTGGATAGAGCACTGGCCCTGGAGTCAGGGGGACCTGAGTTCAAATCCTCAGACCAAACGCTTGACACTTACTAGCTGTGTGACCCTGGGTAAGTCACTTAACCCCAGTTGCATTAAAAAAAAAAGGCAAAGGAGTTTTTTTGCCCTTTTTGCTATTACAAAAATATTTGGGTAGGACTCATTTATTTTTTTCTTTCCTTCTCTGCTGTCAGGATATTTCATTAAGGCCTCATCCCTGCCCTTTATCCTCTATTACTACACTTCTTTTTGCAGGCATTCATGTCTGTATCAAGCTTTATGCTCTCTTTGACCTACACCACCATGCACCCCCAAAAAAACCACTTCTCTCTCTCTCTCTCTCTCTCTCTCTCTCTCTCTCTCTCACACACACACACACACACACACACACACACACAATTTCATTCAATTGCTCACAAAGCAGAGCAGAGGTAAATTATCCCCATTTTGCAGATGGGGAGACTGAGGCTCAGAGATGTTAGGTCATTTTTGCAATCACATGCAGCAAATTAGTGTGGTAGAGGCAGCTCCTGCTAGCAAGTGGACATGATCCCTGTGCTTTTCTGTCACGTTAACCTCCAAAGCTCTTGCTCATCTATTAACAACTGCTTTTTATTGGTTTCCAGTTTCCCTGTTATCTGCAGTTATTCCTGGCACACTAACATTGGTCTGAAGGTGATACAAGGTTGGGGGAAGTGTTTGAAGATGGAGAGATGCAAGGCTAGAAAGACTCCTAGGGTCTGGCATGAGGCATCAGGGCTTTGAGGGGAGGGGGAGGGGGAGGTGTGATAATAGAACATAAAGGAAAGAAGTCACATGACTGGAGCAGTTTATGAAGCCCAGGGGTGGTTGATTGTAACCTCCTAGCTTTGCTCATTTCCAAATCAGGACTTTCCCTAACATCATACTTTGTCCCCTCAAAAAGCATAGTATTAAGAAAGATTATATGTATGCAGAGGTAAGGACACAATGTCAGCTTGAGTCTGGGTGGAACCTACCAAGAGATTAGAGCAGGGATGGGGTGGGGGGGGGGAGGGAGGTTGTTGCAATGGGAAGAGAGCTAAATTTGGAACCAGAAGACTTCAGTTTCAATTCCATCTCTGCTTCTTGCTGTGTGATCTAGGCCTCAGTTTCCTCTTCTATAAAATGGGGACAGGACTGCTCTCTAAGGTCCATTTCAGCCTCAAATCTGAGTTCATGTGAGCAGGAGTCTTTGCATTCTATTCCTATCTCCACTCTTCATCCCATCTCAGAGAAGAATCCTAGGGTGCCTTTTCCCAGGATCTCACAGTTCCTCCCTCCCATTCTCCCCCACCCACACCCCCAAGTTTCAAGTTCAATAGAAGAGGATGTGGTCACCAGGGAAACCAACTTCTCAACCAGATGGACCCCTCTCTATATTCTTCTTGGTCCTGGGGAAGGAAGGTGGTGCTTGGAGAGAGAGAGGCATATAGGGTGCATAGGTCTAAAAGAGGGCAATGTCTATAATGGTTAGATATTGTAAGAGGGAGAGATTCAGACATTGACCAGAAATGGGGTTGAAAGATAGGTACTTGCCTGGCTATGAGTTTCTGAGGCCCCTGAGAGTTTCATTCTGGGGTTGACCAAGCACTACAAGACTGCCTCCTGTATCCCCATCCCAGAGTTAGGCAGCACTTTCAGGGAGACAAGAGAAGGAGGCACAGTCCCTGCTCAGAGTGTGATTGGGTCAACAAGATAAGCAGCAAATACAGGAATTTCAATTGGCTGCCGAATTGAAAATTTTGGACACTAGCAGAGAGATCAAGAGATCAACAAAGTAATGAATCATTTAATGAGCATTGTGTCTCACGTGTCTCGTATAGTGCTAGGTGCTGAGGTTACAAATAATCAGAGGAGGCTTCCTGGAGTAGGCAGGACCTAAGTTTGGCAAGTAGACTTATCGATCTCTATGGATTTCTGCAGTTTTACCTCCAAGCTGTTCCCCATCTTTTAGCTGCTCATTTTATTTTCATGACATGTCTTGGGAGACTGGGATGAAGGCAGGGATAATTCTCCCCATTTCAAAGATCATGGAAAAGAAACTGAGGCCCAAGATGCAGGGCGAGTCGATGATGGGAATGAACCCAGAGCCTAGGTTTCCTGACCTCCCAGCCTAGGGCAGGGGTTAGAGGGTGGGTTGGATGGCTAAGGAGGTGATAGAGACTTGAGCCCCAAGGGAATCAAGAAAAGTAGTTCTGGATACTTGATGGGGTGCAGCTGAGATGATTCACCAGGGTCATGGGTGAGACTGGTCATGTGTGCTGGGTTCCCATGCCACTGAGGAGCCATTTCAGCAATGCTACTTTACCACCTCATGACATTGAACCTGGGCTTAGGGCATGGAGGATGGAGATAATGGTGGGGAGGGAACAGGTCTGGATCAAGCAATCAGCTCATCCCTCCTGCCACCTCTGCCCTCTTTTCATCCAAAGGCACCTAAAGCATGTTACCATGATTCCCAGGTCTGAGCCTTCTCAGCACTGGCTGCCCTGGGGAAGTTGTCCTCTTCCCTCTGTTTGGTTTGTGGCCACTGGCTACTCGGGTTATCGGTCAGTGGCTCTCTACCAAAGCTTGGGGCACAGACTATCCTTTAGTATGGATCCCCTTAGAATGATCTCAACTGAGGTCAAGTCAATTTCTGGCTAAAAGGAAGATATGGGCATACAGCCTCTTCTCCTGACCCTAGGGTCCTAAAATAGCCATGCAGACAGACACGTTGTAACTGACCCCCTAGACTGCCTTACATCATACTCAGGAAACCAACTCTTCCCCAGAAACCTCCTGGCACTTGCTGAAATGTGGTTATTGCTCAAGGGTTGAGCCTTCCTCATAGACCTGTTTCTTATAGTCCTCTCCAACTCCCCACCCCCATCCAAGGACCCTAAGAAAACACTTCTCAGGTGATGTTGATGGTAGAAGGAAATTGAGGAAAGTGCCAGTAGAGTCAATCTCTACTAGCTGCCACCCACACCCTCCATTTAGCCCTTCCAAAGGCTCTTTCCAAGGCTCCTGCCACCTCTTTCAGGATCCTCCTGTCAGGGTAAGCCACTGATCTCTGCTAAGGGCAAATCAGCAGAATACTAACGAGCACAGGTAGCCTTTTCCTTTTTTTATTTTTCCTTTTTTGCTTCCAGCCTTTGTTTTAGCTTCCAAAAATCCAAGGTGATCCCTATCCAACCTGTTTCATAACTTGGTTTTGAAAATCTATCTACACACACACACCTAAAAACAGGAAAGCAAAGATCCAGGTGAGCTAATTCACCAGTCATTCCTTCCTGAGTCAGTGGCTCAGCAGTTGGTGATGCCTGGTGATGGCAAGGCCAAGGTCGAGGAAACGGGTTGGTTCATTTTGATCTCTCTCTCTCTCTATCTCTCTTGCATTTTTGTGAATCTAATGATGAACTTATGTTGCCCCACTTTTCCCTTCTCTTCACACCTTACCTACTAAAGGAGGAAATGCCACTTTTTTGGTAAGTGGACGTTATCCAAGAGGGACTTAAAATCAGAATTTTTAAAAAAAAAGAGGAAAAGAAAGACAGTAGGATGAAGCTACTTACAGCTCAACAGCTCTCTGCAGGGCCAAAAAGAGAAAAAAATCAGTTTCCCAGGAGTTCAGAGACATATTTTATTTCAGTATCTATGACATTTGTGGTTTTTTTTTTTTAATTTTTCTGTTTTTTTTTTCTTCCTTTCTCTGGTTCTGTTTTCAGTTGAGTTCTCCCCAACCCTTCCCTGTCCCACCCTCCCCCTCCCCATTCCTTCCCCAGCCCTTTGCCATCTGTGTGTTGTTTGACCCCATCTCTTCATTATATAGCTTCATCTCTATCTCTTGTTCTCTATATACACGCTGTTCCCCTTAGCCCCCTATGGCCACTTTTTCTGTTCGTACCATCTTTGTGATATTTCTGCGCTGTTGTTCCCCGCCCCTCCCCCTTCCTTTCTTTCTTCCTTCCCCTCGCCCCCACCCTCATCCTTTTCCCCTTCGGGGGGAAGAGACTATCGGTTTGGGTTCTTTGCCCTGCTCTGGTCTCCCCCTTCTCCTCTCTTTCCCACCCCCAATCGTTCTTTCATCACCTCTGCCTCCCCCCATCCTCAGCCTTCTCCCCACCGTCCCCCCAACCCACCTGGACCCCCCTTCTCCTCTCTTTCCGATCCGTTCCTTGGTGTTTTTGCATGCGAAGAGACTTGCATGAGCTGCATTTATGGAGGCCCACCCAGAAGGTGTGATCAGGAAGGAAGAAAGGAAGGAAGAAAGGAAGGGGTAGGGCAGGGCAGCAGGGTCTGTGTAGTTTGCAGAATGCACCGTGCCTTGACGATGTGAGCGACAACGCGTCCCGGGAGGTAATCTTTAAAAGCCCATCTCTCCTTCTCTCCTTTCCCCTCCTTCTCTCTCTCCCCCCTCTGTCTCTCGTCTCCTCTCTCTTTCTTTCTGTGTCCCCTGTTCAGAGGCCCAACTCGCCCGAACCCCGAGCCCACGCCAAAGCGGAGCCGGCCCTGACCACACCGCCGCGGGGGAAAGAGGGTCGAAGCCCCGGCTCGGCTTCGCCGCAGCCACCGGCCAGGGGCGGCCGAGGCGGCACAAGCGGAGGAGGCACGGGAAGCGCGCCCGGGGGAGGAGGCGGCACCTGCGGGAGCGTAGCGGGAGAAGCCAAGCACCGGCGGCGCTCGCGCTCCGCCGCTTCGGCGCCGCGTCGGAAAGGACGCAGACGGCCTCGCGCCCCGGCTCCTCGGAGCTCCCCGCGATCGCTCAGCCGCGCCGGCTCCAGCAGCGACTCGGACGCGTCTGGAGCCTCCCACCAGCCCGGCCCGGAGCCCAGCCAGGATCGGAGCCACTGCGCCCCGGGGAAAAAGTGAGAGCCAGAGGGCCTCCGGGTTGGGGCCGGACTGGGGTCCAGGAGCCTCAGCTGGTGGCTTCGAGCCTAGCCTTGATACCTAGCGCCCCGGCGCAGCCCGGCCAGGCCTGACACCTAGAACCCCAGCCCAGCCAGGTCTGACACCTAGCACCCA